GAGAGAGGTTGTTGTTTAAGTCCCGTGAAACTAAAGACCAAGAAGCAAGGAACACATTTCTGTTTAGGCTAACTATAACTAGAAAAACTTTTGTCCAAGATTCATAACAAATAACGTTTATTAGTAATCATAACAATCGAATATACAGTTTTTATAATTAGTAACATAGTAATAGTAAAAATAATATTAAAACAAATTTTAAAAGTTTGGTCCCTGCGCCAGTTAAATGCTGGTAGCATTTCCTCGCTGTATTGCGATACTTATTCGTTGAACGAGGAAACCAACAGCTCTTATGTATTTAATATTTATTAATAACATTTTTAATATAGTATTCATAAAACTACCAACAGAAAATATTTTCAGTTGGTAGTTTAACACTTTTTGTAAGTGTTAAACGTGGATATCCACGTTTAACACTTACAAAACACTTTTGAAGCATTCAACTCGCGACTTAAAAGGTCGGCAATTCTGTTTTAAAATGGCTACTTCGCTGCAAAAACCATTAGTTTTAAATGCGGGGGACCGCAATGAGGGGCCATAGTAAGGGTGAATAATAACTATGGCTGGCCACTTCTAAGATATGGTTTAAATATTATTGTTTATTAGTCTGGGGAAAACTATCATGATACCATTATTATGATACATATTATACCATTGTACCATTATCAAATTAACACAATTTAAGTTTTGTGCATGCTCCAGCATAGCTCCTCCATCATAATTCTTTCCTGTATTTATATTTTAGATTTCGTGCACAGAAACATACATATTTTTAAGTCGAATGTAGAAGTTGAAATAAGAAGTAGACATGGGGAGAAATTTTAGGAAAAACACCTTTTGTATGGCCATTAAGGTTTACAATAATTTACAACGTTTTAGGTCTGGGCCTCAGATTTATGTATGTGTATCGTGATTTATTCTTCTTAACAGGCAAGATCAGCCTTCTGTGGGGTTTAAGGCGCCAAGCCATGTTTGTTCACGATATTTTCCTAATTATTGAATGTCATGAAAGTCAGTGATGCACAGCCGTGGCTCGAACCTTCGACTTCCGGGACGAGCCACACGAAACCACTAGACACACACTGCAATAGATTGGCACCGATTCATACCTTGTAAAATAATTATTTTAATACATTTCTCTTAAACAAAACGAATTAATACCAATAAGAAATATTATATGAAGTGCATTTGGAGTAAATTTTTTATTTTTTTTCTATTTAAGCTATTCTGTAATTACACCAATAAAAGTTATATGATTTATATGTTATCAGTGTATTGCTGTGTACGTAGACGGACGGATAGACAGTACTTTTATACATCATACACATTACTAAAGAAGAGAAGAGATGTTCTTATACATTAACAGATGTGATTTCGTTCACAACTAAAAGCTAGGTTCTTTAATCAGTCGTTAACAAATCTAGTTCTATCGTTTTTGAAAAACAAATATAGCCTGCTATATATAATGATCTACTCTGAGTGCGGATGTTACGCTTGTTTCTACTTAATTGTTATTACTGTTGTTAGTGTTTTGCGTACGATGACAGACTACTTTAAAATAACATAACATTAGTGTTTACAAAATGTCAAAATATTAGATTAATTTGTACTTTAAAGTATTTCTGTTTATAATGAAACATAATATTACCCATACATATATGTAATTTATTTATTTCCAACATACAAAAAAATAATAATAAATAGAAAATTAAAACACATTTAAAAAGTTTGGTCCCTGTGGCCGATTTAACGATGGCAGCATTTCCACAGCGATACTTATTCGTTGAGAGCGGAAAGCAACAGCTCTGGGGTCACCGGTACTATCTACCAGGCACCAACTTAAATGTTTAATTAGTGAACTGAACTAACTTAGCTGACTTGAACCCCACGACCCAAGAATCTCTTCTCCAAAGGGAACAAAATCGATGTTAGAGGAAAGCCTCTTATATTATCTAATATATTAAATTCTCGTGTCACAATGTTCGTTCCCATACTCCTCCGAAACCGCTCGACCGATTCTTATGAATTTTTTTATGCATATTCAGTAAGTCTGAGAATAGGCTACTATGTATCTTTCAAACCCCTGAAATGTTAAGGGTGTTCCACCCATTAATTTTTATTTTTTAGACAATTCTTTTTGTTTTTATTTTTTATGATACAGCTTACAGAAATACATACAACCCCTAATTTTCACCCCCTGCAATCAACCACTTATGACTTGAACTCTGAGGCTTATATAGAGAAAAAATCACAGAAAAATCTAAAAAGTTTTCATTCTAGAAAACCGAACAGTCTCTGGGGCATAGCAAAATGTTCCATGTTGGTATGTACTAAGAAGTTAGCCTACCTAAGTAAAATCACATTAAGGAGAAACAAAGTTTGGAGGGGTAGCTAGTATAGTATATAAATACTATGTGTTTTAGAACTATGTAATTCTAAAGACAGCACTTGGCGAATATGGAATCGCGATTCAGGTGACGTAAGTTAGTACAATAGCATTGTGAGGCTCGACTTATTTGGAATACCAAGGTTCTTTGGATAATCGTGTTGAATCGAATAATAGAAACAAACTTGAAGAATAATTTCGTGTTTGCTTCACAAACGTATTTTCGAAAGAAATCACATTCAAATCACATATAAACACACACACTTCAACAATCAAATTTATTTTTAAAAGGTACACTAAAGAAACACTGAGTTTTATACTCTTTTTAAATACTGTACTCTGAAAGTACTCATTTGTATAATTTAGTTTTAATAGAAATTTCCTTATGTTGTCCAGGCACTAATGCTGCTGTTGAAGGTATTTTCACTAGGGAATGATTATGGGAGCATTGAGAAGTCGCAACTTTCTGTAAAAACATTATCTGCCGTCTTAACAATCAAATTTGTGGATGCGGATGTGGCTACATTATTAGACGAACATCCTCATTTAGCTAAAAAAATCCACTCCCAATGTTTTTAAAAGAAAATAAAGTTCTTATCGTTTTTTCACCTATTAAATACTTGCAAAGTGTACTGTTTTTGAACATAAAATAGTTGGTCACCTTAATCTGAACACAGAGAATACACGACATACATCAATGACTATGATATGATAAAAGTAAAATAAATTATACAATCATAATAAACGACAATAAACAAGATTAACGTTTAAAGAACTTTATTTCTCATTACAAAAAATGTATTTTTATTTACATGTGAAACTTAATATACTGCTCAAAACAATTAGCGGAACAAGATTTTTCTCCTTTCTATTGCTTAAACTAAAATTAGATTTAAATTAACTTGTACGCTATTTTTTACCTTGTTAATTTGTTAATTACTACAATTAATAAAAAAAATACAAATTGATTTTTTTTATTAAAAAAAAATTAAAATGTGCATTGTAGACGAAAAACTTATTGGTGATAAAAAAGGTCCATCAAAGAAATATTCTTATATCGTTTGAATATTCGTCTTTAGTGACTTTCAGTAACGTGTGTGGCCTCCATGAGCCCTAATCACGGCTTGACAACGACGCGGCATGCTTCGTATGATTCTCGGAATATCTTCTTGTGGAATTCGCTCCCATTCTTCAATCAACGCTTCAGTGAGCTGCTGCAGTGTTTGAGGTGCAATCGGACGCTTCCGGATGCGCCTGTCAAGCAAGTCCCAAATGTGTTCAATTGGATTTAGGTCAGGGCTCATGGGAAGGCCACTCCATTACACGGATTTCCTGCTGTCGTAAGTTATCTGACGTGATGGCTGCAGTATGCGGCCTGGCATTATCTTGCATTAAAAGAAAATCTGGGCCCATACCATATGCTGCGGGCCAAACATGATCTTCGAGCACATTTTCAATGTAAGTTTGAGCACACAAGCGCCCGGGAACAACGACGAGATCTGTGCGCTCGTCCAAACTAACTCCGCCCCAAACCATCACAGAGCCACATCCAAATTTGTGGATGCAGTTGTGGTGCGGTTACGTAAAGCACAGTTGACGATGTAGCGATCTTGCAAACGTGTAGTTTTTCTCTTTCGACCTTGACCACGCCTTCGTGAGTATTCTCCCGTCTCACGGTATCGCTTCCAAAGTCTGTAGATAACAGAAGGGGCTACTCCTAGATCATTTCCTACATAACGCATAGTTCGACCCTCTTCAAGCAAAGCTATAGCTCGGGAGACATGCAATTCAGTCAGATCTGGCATTATGACCTAAACTCACTCGCTTCAATGAATAACAATACTCAAAAGGCTCACTTCAATTTCTATTAATACTCAAAAGATTGAAAAAAAACTACTTAAAATGTGTTTTCTGTGATTAGAAAGTAATGAAAATTCAAAGACGTCACTTTGTTTTTCGTCTACAATGCACATTTTAATTTTTTTTTAATAAAAAAATACAAATTGAATTTTTTTATTAATTGTAGTAATTAACAAATTAACAAGGTAAAAAATAGCGTACAAGTTAATTTAAATCTAATTTTAGTTTAAGCAATAGAAAGGAGAAAAATCTTGTTCCGCTAATTGTTTTGAGCAGTATATATACGAACGAGATACACGTCGCCATCAGCCGTCCCAATTTTAGTCTACTAGGCTCATTCTGATATATCTTTAATGCCCTTTTGAATTGATTAAGAAATACAAATATGCAATTTATAAATTAATATATTTCTTCTGAATGGTTATAAGCGGTGACGGAACAACATTATTAGTTCATTGTCTTTGTATACTTACAATGTTCTTCGTATATATTGGTGTACCGTAAAATACTCCAACTTTGCCACCAGGGGAAACTTTGCCCAAAATACAATTTCTAAGGAAATCATCTAATGTCAAAAAAAGTATCAAACTTATGACAACATTGATAATATTGGTAGAAAATAAAATATACGTGTGGCAACCTAGAATAACACGTGTGCTTTCAACTAGACTCAGTTATCTGTCGGCACTTGTTGAAGACGGGGTGTGTTTTTGCGGGCAAATTACCGTGGATATTTGGAAGTGGATTGTGCGTCATGGCGAAAACACCGGTACGTTTAATGGATTGTTTGACATGTAAAACAATTTGATGAGTATTTTGATGATAGTTTCGTTGCTGTAACTCACGGTTTACATAAGTTATGATAGTGGGCAAAGTTACTCAGTAATGTGCAGCAGTATCATTGTCAACATTGCCCGCCGTCATAAAACCTCTAGGGTTGTCACTTTAATTTCATTTTATATGACTGCCAAAAAATGAGAGTAATGTTTTAAGAGTTTATGTTTGTATGTTGTATTTTCTATTTCACCAGCCTTCCACATAATATAGTATTATATAGAAATAAAATAAATACATATTATTATGTATGATGTATCGTTGGAATCCTTACATCATCTCAAGAGATACTGGTTATCTTTCTTTACGTTTTAGTCGTCATTATTTTTTTAATTTGGAGTATAGAGTATAGAGGTAAGTTGGTACATGGTAAGTAGATAGATTAGTAGCTTACCTTACCTACTAGATTAATTGTCTATTCAGGTAGGTCCATGAATAGAAAAAAAAATATTATCTTATTGTACGTTGTTATTATAATTGTTTCGTTTTTGTATTTCAGAAAAACAAAAATAAACCTCGTCTTAGACAAAGAAAGTCAAGACGTGAGCTTGGGTCTAGGATGTATAAAAATTACTCAGAAGAAATGTTGATGCTTGCATGTGAAGCTGTTCAATCAGGTCAAATCTCAACAAGAGATGCTCAACGACAGTTTGGAATCCCAAGGCGGACTATAGTTAATAAAATAAAACAAGTGCACACGAAATCTATCGGACATCCTACTGTACTAACAAATAAAGAAGAGGATAAAATCATTAAGGTCCTACAAGCTTCTAGCAATTTCGGCTCTCCGCTTACAAAATTAGATCTGAAGCTATTGGTTCACGAATACATCAAAAAGAACTCACGAGATCATATTTTTAAGAATAAAATTCCTGGTGATGGATGGGTACAAAGCTTTTTGGCAAGGCATGCTGATGAATTGACTCTGAGAACTACCCAAAATATTTCAAAGGTGCGAGCTGAAAAGGGAGCTCAAGAAATACACATGTATTTTAATAATTTAAATACAACATTGAAAGACATACCAGCTGAAAACATCGTGAATTTCGATGAAACTAACCTTTCCGATGACCCTGGCTCTTCTAAGTGTATTTATAGACGGGGTGTAAAATATCCAGAGAGAATAGTGAATTCCACCAAAGGAAACATATCCCTAATGTTCACGGCCACTGCAAGTGGTAGGTGCCTTCCTTTGTATATTGTTTACAAAGCAACAAATTTATACTCGGAATGGGTCAATGGAGGACCACCGGACACCAGATATAATTGTAGTAAGTCAGGTTGGTTTGACAGCGCAATTTTTGAAAACTATTTTGAAACTATAATTCTTACGTGGGCAAAAGAAACTGTCGGGACAAAAGTTGCCATTTGCGATAATCTATCTAGCCATTTGAGCATTAAAGTAGTAGAGTTATGTGAGCAACATGACATTAAACTTGTATTCATTCCTCCAAGATCAACACATCTTACGCAACCACTAGATGTCGCATTTTTTGCGCCTTTGAAAAGGTGCTGGCGTAAAATTCTTTACCAGTACAAGCTCAAAAATCCGACTCAAACCACTTTAAATAAAAAACATTTTCCGAAATTGCTTAGTGAATTAACCAACACAATGAAGATAACGGAAAAAACTAACATAATAAGTGGCTTTCGGGCATCGGGAATATATCCACTAAATCCGCATGAAGTTCTCAAGAAGATTCCTGAGATGCAAGAGGAAATAATGTCATTTGGAATCGACCAAGTACTAGTGGATTATTTAAGAGAAACCAGAGCGCAAAAGCCAATGCAAGTACCGAGAAATAAAAAAATTCATTGTGAGCCAGGAAAATCAGTGAGCATTAACGATTTAAATATCGATACTCGCAATAAGAAAACAAAAAAGAAATCCACTAAGGTGAGTAATAAGAAACAAAAAAGAAACGATAAATCTGTATTATATTTAGATGATCAAACTGGCCTTTATATTGTTAGAAATTATGCTAAAAACTTGGAAGAGACTTTCAATATCCCTCAGTGTCAGGTAAGTAAAATTCCTGAAAGCCTTAGCAAACAATGTATCGATGTAATTAATTCCTATTTAGGCCAATCATTGCGCATTGAAAAGGCAAAATCATCTACCGATCTTTTACATTTGAATAATTCTAGAAATAGTATTACAAACACATTGACGGCAAGAAAAAAGTATGACAATTCTGTACAAAATAGTTCTTCTAACAAAAAAATACGCATTATTTCCAATGTTCTCATTAAAGCAGGATCACCATCAACTAATGTTTGTGTTTTAAAAGAAGCTTCTTGTAAGATTGAAAATAAACCGTTTATAGCTACTCATAAAAACGATTTACCAGAATGCCTGCAGGAGAAAAAAAAGAAACTAACGAAGAAAATAGATAAGAAACATACTAGAAAATATACGGGTAGTAATAGAACCAAAGAGGGTAAAAACAATTCGAAATGTAAAAAGTCCGTCCAAGGACGTACTAAAATCAAAAGAAAATCAAACCGATACGATAGTGAGTCGAGTTCGGTATCTACGGGTAATGAATTTATAACAGTTGACACAGATGATGATTACGAAACTATAAATGATTTTTACATAGCCGAAACTCTACGAAAACAAGAAGAGAAGGAAAATTTTGAACCCCCAAATACTTCCTTTGGATTACACGAAATTGAATATTTTTCTGAAAATCAAGAGAAACTTAAAGAAAATGCCTGGATCATTGCTAAATTCTCTACAAAAAAGAGTGTAAAACACTTTGTAGGTAACGTTCTTTCGATTAATAGTGAGAATCCTATAGTTAAATTTTTACGAAAAGTTAAAGAATCAAAATGTGATACAGGAATGACCTTTTCATATCCAACAGTTGATGACATTTGCACCATTAAACATTTAGAAGATGTTGTAACAGTTTTACCAGAGCCAACGATTACTCGACGTGGTCGAATATTATTTCACGTGGATTTTAGTAATTTCAACATTCAATAAAAGTTTACTCGACGGAATTTGTGTGAATTTTGAAATTAATTAATTTAAATTCAATAGTTAATGACTGAATAATTTAATTAAGACTATCATTTTCCAAAGAATAATTTAATTTTATGGCAAAAAAAGTTACTAAAGGTCTCAATTAGAATTAATTTTATAAACATTGATTATTATATCAATTCTTATTTAGTAATAAAATTATTATGTTAAATGACTGAAGTGATTCCTTTGACTGTACTCTCCAAAGAATATTTGTAATAATAAGATAAAAATAATTAAAAATGTCAAGTTTGCATTTTCACCTACTCATAAAATTGTTAATTTTTTTTAATTTACGTATGACATAAAAAGTACGCCTTGAACTTTTGAGGTGTACGTCTCTAAGTTTCTTTTTTGTTTATTTATAAGCACTTGTTTTTTTTTTCAAATTTTTTAAATGTTGTTTTTTGTCTTTTGTAAAAAAGACGAGATCTCTAACTGTTATCAATTTTAAGTCTTTAATAAAAATCTTTAATTTTTATTTATTATATCGTACTTTCTTCTACTTATGTATTTTCACTCAAATATTACAACCCTAGCACATTTAAATCGTTACAAACCGTTTGTATGGAGAAGTGAAAAAATATTAGGGTAACATTGCCCACTAATTTTAGTAGATAAATATTTATGATTTCCAGTCAATCTTTTGAGAGAACGCTTTCATTGCCAAAATGCATTTGCTAGTTCTTATAGCTTCCAAATAAGTGCTATAGTTCCGCTAAAAATCATCATGGGCAATGTTGGCTATAAGTCCAGATAACTTTGCCCGCCTTAAAAATTGTTTATAAACTGGGGAAAACAATAACTAATGTTATATTTTTTTGAATCAACGCATGGATATGATCTTACTATTGCCACAGATAAAAAAATATGTCGGGGGCAACATACAAAAAACTTGAAATATTTAAGTTTATTTTAAAAATGTGGGCAATGTTGGCATGTTTTACGGTAATAGTTTTTTTATATATATTAAATTTAAAAATTGTAAATATCCTTTTTCGTGGATTCTTAAATAAATTACGTCAAAATTCAACGTCGTCGTCGTGTCGTCTTGTACTAAATTCGATTTAGTAAGACAAAATAATTAATCAAAAATATCATTTAAATTTAAAACATTCTTAGGAAAAATGTTCCACCAGTTCTAATTTTTAAAATCGCTTATCGAGGAGTCCTTACAAATAAATTTACAATACATAATAATTATTTACATATTTGATAACTGAGTTAACGGTAACGGCTGCATCCTTTTATAATACTTATTTATTTAAATAGACAATCATACGTCCATGTCACAATATTTTCCTAATTGTTGGTTAGTTGGTATTAACATTTGTATTATATATTTCTGAGCAATGGCGCTGGTATCAACTGCCATTGTTATTATAATTTAATAACATCAAAGTCAAATTAGTTCAAAACTGTCCTGTGGTTTTTTTGATTTGTCAATATTAATGGATCTGCAAATTAACAGACTATTTGATAGTCTGTAGTAATATCATAATCTTTATTATTTATAATGTAGGAGCAATGGTGTTAATGTCAGCTGCCATTGTTCCGACATATATATTTATATATAAAAATGAAACCCGTTTTCCGTTGTCACGACATAACATGAAAACGGCTTGACCGATTTGTCTGATTTTTTTAAATAATATTCCTTGAAGTACGAGGATGGTTCTTACGGAGAGAAAAATTTAAAAAAATGAGTGAAAAAGTCTAAAAACAATTTTCCCATACAAAATATTCGTAATAATACTTAAAAGTCAATTTGAACTTTAATACCATATCATAGAGTTCAAGTGTTAGTGGAGGGGTTCGGGGAAGGTAAATTTTATTTTTTTGACCAAATGTATTTGTTGTCTTATCAACTTTCTTATTTTATCTTACTAGCTAGACCGGTGTCCCGAATAGCAGAATAAGTATTAAAAAAAAATAAAGAATAGACTGTTAGGCGGTACGATGTTCGCCAGCCCAGCTAGTATATTTATAAAAATACTAGCTGACCCGGCAAACGTCGTTATGCCATGTATATCATTTAAAATAAAAAATAGGGGTTTATCGAAGAGGGGTTGTAATGATTTAATTTTTAGAGGGGTTTTAGTGCTGTATTATAAAAAAAAGTGTACTTATGTACGCGCGTAAGAAGTTATACTTCTTTGGCTTTCTTTTTTTTTAAATATTAAATAATTAATAATAAATATTTAACGTTAATAATTTAATAATATTTAATATTTAGTATATTATTCATTTATTAATTAATATTAATAATAATAATAATATTTTTTTTTTAAATATTATTCATTCAATTTAATAACTAGGTATGTTTCATAACCTTTTAACTAAGTAACAATAGGTCTTTGTAAAAAAGGATTGCTAAATTTCTTTGAAAAAATAATTAAAACTCCTTTATTTGTTTATAAGGTACTAAGGTCATTATGGTATTCTGATAATTTTGTGTCACGGGTGCGCGCATCGTAAAATTTCACTCTCATCAATTTTTCATAACGCGCCTAAAGAAGTATAACTTCAAAAATTAAAAATGTCTACAAATTAAAAAAATAATAATTTACCCTTAACATTTAGGGGGATAAAAAATAGATGTTGTCCGATTCTCAGACATACCCAATATGCACACAAAATTTCATGAGAATCGGTCAAGCCGTTTCGGAGGAGTTTGACTACAAACACCGCGACACGAGAATTTTATATATTAGATTGTATTGTATTTTAATTTAGGCTTCCATGCTTATTTGTGCCTTACATTACTGATTTATTCTAAAGCCCAAGAAGCAAAAGCCATAGCAAAATTATTTGAGCGATGTCAAACACATGGCTAAAGAAGAGCAGATAAGTTCTACGTTCACCACAGAGAACTAACAGCTTAAGTCTATAAGTCTGCTAATGTCTACTCTGAGTGCGGATGTAGACTTGTTCCTACTTACTAGCTTTGTACCATGTGAACTTAAACATCTGCCTATGCCGAGGTTATGTCAATGCAATTGTTGTTACCTGACATAAAAACTAGGAAATGTTGCTTCCTAGGGTATACTTAACAGGTATAATTGCACAGGTGATTGTCAGATAAATAGTTGACAGTGACAAATCATTTTCGACGATTTCTTGCAACTTTTTTGACATCTACCAAGCCGCAAATATATAATTAGGAAATTATATTGAAATGTAAAATTTCTATTTTTTTTATTCAAAGTAGCGTTTGTGTTTTGGATGAGCGTAAGAAGTGACTATTTGATACCGTCTTCGTTCATGCAACTTTGTAGCTTGTTACATGGACAAAAGTTCTTGATTTTAAATTGTTACAATACAAGTTTTTAATTGTTATAAATTATATAAAGCATGTAATCACTTACATTAAAATTGACAATGTTTGGTATATATATTTTTTGGAATTTCAATCAATGATCACATAGCATGAATGTGATGGGTGGGTTGAAAAGTTCGTAGGCAAAATATTTTTAGAAAATATAGTAGAAAAAATATTTTTTTTATATTTAATTTTATTATTCAATGTAATAGCGGTCATACAATTTTTGCATACTATTTTTATAGTACTATTTGTATTTGGCCACAAAATAGGCTTTAGTTTCGGCGAATACTTCTTCATCAGCGCAAAATGTCTTGTGTGAGAATTTTATTAAGGTAACAGGAAAACATCGCTGGGGGGTAAAATCTGGAGAATACGGTGGATGCGGAATGTTATATGCTACATACAAAATTATTATTCATATTTGTTGTGGGTATTTTCGTCCCTGAAAGTTAACTTAAAATTATAGTAATATTTTAACGTTTGAATAATCGTCAGCGTAGTTCGCGACCGGAAAACACTTTCTTAAACTCGGTTAAACAAACACAACACGATACTAGCTTTTAGCTAAACTAACACTTTCGATTCTAAATTACGTAATTTGGTTTCTTATTCTTTATGTCGCTTTTATAAACTAATTTTTTTAAGTTATACTTCTATTGGCGCGTTAGGGAAAAATGATGAGAGTAAATTTTTAAGATGCGCGCGCGCCACAAAAAACCGACACCCTGAAGTTAGCTATAGTCACTATTTTTTTTATACAACTATTGATGCTGTATTTGTACGATATTTAGACAATGTTTCTACTTATCATACTTTAGCTATCATAAGCCTCTTGTAACTCGCATGTCTACTGAACTCCAACCAATGGACGTGAATTAAATAGTAAATATCAATATAAGTTGCATGCTAAAATAAAAAATGTCTATTTCTTTAATTAAGTATTAATATTTTTTTGTGATATTTAAATAAACTTTATTTAACTAGATAATGTGTTATAATATAACTATCAATGTATTAAGTGCATTTTTTCTATTGTTACTGTCGGTTTTCCTACAAACGAAGACTAAAATTTTTGAAATGTTTTTATCTTTTTACGCCAAAGAAGTATAAATTCTAACGCGTGTACATATTTACTAACAATCTTGTAGTCTTGCCGAAAGGGATTTGAGGTCGCAGCAGTGGTTATGTAATTTATGTACATATATGTACGCGTAGCAAATAATTATATTGTCCAGACCTAGCCGCCATTCTGGTAAAAGTAAGTATTGAAATCTAAAACGTAATAAAAAACTAAATTAAACTCCGATTATTTGAGTTTAAGTATTTTTATCAAAGTCTTAATCTTTGTATAATTATTTAATCATTAAATCCACTCTTGAAATATCAACAACTCAATAAAATAAATACTAGTTTTCAAAACGGTCTCACAAACGAGCGTGCAACAAAATTAAAAACCTCTCGTATTTGCTTGAAAACTTTTCAAAACTAATGTGAGGCAAAACCGCACTGCGTAATTGCATTTAATAAAAATAAGGCCGTTAACACATTGGCGTTTAATTCACGGATAAGACAAATAAGGCATTCGTGCTGCAAATACAAAGCTAACCGTGCCAACACTGGCTCTGCGCCCTAAAAA